AAGGGAACACTTCCTCCAGAAGATATTTTTGTGGACAAAGATGCAGGAGAGACTGGGCGATAGTAAGTATTGGCCTTGAACAGATTTAAAATAATATCCTAGTATAAACTGTCTTGACTTTTGTCCCCGTTTTTATATCTTGCGGTTTGCGTGATATAAGTGTTACACATATGAGGTTCCTGTTTAGATGATACTCTATTATTAAAAATAAACAAAAAACAAGAAAAGCCTATAGCTATTAAATGATTTTTATTTATTTACAGTTATATTACTTTGGAGTCAGGTGACAAATACCTTTGTCGTTATGGCAACGCCAGTGCCAGCTTGTTAGCTTCTCCTGCTTTTTCTGAGGAATGTTACTACCAAAACAAAGATGTTTTAACAGATATCGAGAAAAACACCAAACTATATCCTTACTACCATTCTGTGAACTTAAGATCGCCAGGTATAATTTACAAATTCTTCCAAATCTTTCTGATACACAGCTATTCTCTTTCTCTTTTTGGTTTTTCGTAATGCATTCACTTTGGATTTGAGTTTCTTTCTGCTTCTTTTATTAAGAGAAACTAAGAATTTTGATTTGCTCTGGTTCTGAATTTGAACAACATACACTCTCAAAAATCATGGTCCTGCTGTTTTTATTAAAGGTTACTGGGTACTTCTTCGGATAAAAAAAAAAAGCTTGGGTGATCTAAAAAGTGTCTTTAAAGAAATTTTATAAAAGTTTAAAGAAAATGTAGTACCTTCCAAAATAAAACAGCAAAAATATGGTGTATGTTTTCTGTTGCCAATCAACAGGTTGTGGTCCCTTACCCAATGTGAGTGCTGGTACCGGCGAGTGGGCGTGTCCTCGGGGGGTTTCGGTGTCCTCAGTGCCAGTGTATGTGTCCTGTCTGTTTCAATGTTCGAATGGTGCTAGCATCAAAATCAGGTGTACTGAAAAACTAAAATGGGACAACATTTTACAGTCTGGTGTCTGTTCTCCATATGGTAGGTCTTTCTTACCAAGGATTTCTAATATTATTTTACGTACAAATACCGTAGGAATATTGCCAATACATATTTCTTGTATTAATTTTAGTATATACGTTAGGAATATTGCCAATACATACTTCTTATATTAATTTTAGTTATGAGCTATAAGAACTCTGATCCATCCACAACAAATTTGCCCCTGGTAATAATACTGTCAATAGCGTGCCTCATCCTGATAATCTTTATCGCTGTCCTCATTGTGCAACGACGTCTGTACAAGAAATGTCCTAATCTGATGAAAAGAATATGTGACTCCCCAGAAACAGACAATGCTTTAAATGTTCCTGAAATGCCTGATCTGGGGTGCGAGATAGAACCTGGAAGTCAAAAGTGTCCGGAAACAAATCAGAAAGCAAAGAGAACGAACGATGTCCAACTCCTTAAAGATGCCTCGGATCAAAATGATCTGAATTCAAACACCTCACAGGAATTTAATAAAAGGAGAGATTCTTCCAGCGATGTATCTTTGGATACAATGAACTCTGAAGCCAGTCGTCGATACAGTGACTGTAATTATAGTCGGGAGACCAATACCTCAATTATACAGAACGATTGGAGGGAGGGTTCTGAGTACTTTCCACCCCTCTCATCATTACCAACTTCTAATGACAACTCCATACCTCCAAAAACAGACTCACTCAGATGTGAACAGCTCGAAATCACAGAAGAGAATGTGGCATTCTTCAAGTGCCCTCCAGAAAGAGCCAGTTCTATTAAACCAGGTATTTGTATGAATACTTCACATTGATGTTGTCCTAGTCATACAAACTTCTCTCGTTATTTTTCTGTCTATGTATATTTCGTCTTCTGTTAGAAAGGGTTCGAGATATGGTATTGGCAAAGATTTCTATGTTTTACATGCTTATTATATCAAGCATTTGTAATGCAAGTCTAAATTTGAAATGAATTTAGTTATATAAATGAGTATAAATTTTGATTTAGATCCCTGTCCAACGGTAGCTGCGGTGCTGGACGGTGCTTTGGAAAACAGTGTCCAGTTTGTAGATGATCTGTCAACATTACTCGATCCAGATAAACAATATAAAAGTATTTCCACCTGGCAAGGACTAGCTCAGGAATTATTCCGACTTCCTTACAGCAAAATTGATGAAATAAGGTAAGTACCAAGTGTAAGTAGGTAGCAATTTTACAGAACTTATAGATTTTTACTCTTAAGTTACTTGCTTTTGTTTCAGATACAAAACAAAAGACCATTTCAAAGAGGGAGTTTTGCCCTTGCTAAGCTCTCATGGATACACTATCTATGACGTGACTTCTTATTTCTACCCTGAACCGTCACGGCGAGTTGACGTCATCGAGTGTATTAGGCGATATCATCCAAACTGTCAGAAATGTGGAGAAATCTACAAAAATCTCAAACTTGGAATGTTGTCAAAAGTATCATAACTCAGGAAATTATCAAAAACTATAAATTGTATGTTCTTTTCATATAAATTACAATATTTATTCATATATATATATATATATATATATATATATATATATATATATATATATATATATATATATATATATATATTTCCATATCCTTCTTATATATTATGCATTAAACATATTGACCAGTTCACCTGAAAATCGGCCAGTACAATAAAAATTATACAACTTCTCAATTTTATTTCAAGAAATTGATCTTTTTTTAACAATAAACACAAGACTCCACTTATAAATGGCAAATGAGACAAGAAATTAAACTATAGACACATGAAAGTTTCAAGGTCCAGTAACAGGAACCTATTGATTCTAAACCTCACAGCGTGCATGATTGGAAGCATACATGATATTCTTCCAGGGTACATGACAAAAGGATCTAGAGGTACTGTGAGCAATGAGCTCACTAAATGATACCCCCGCATCCAATATAAATATAATGGCAGTGTCTATGTTTTGCTGTGGGAAACCCAAAATATGTGTGTCGGATCAAAAAGTAAAATAGGAGATGCACAATAGCAATATGCGATAAAGATTCTGTGAAAGTTTCATCAAATTTCTATCAGTGGTATGAGAGGAGACGCAGATAAGAGATGGGTATACCCCAAAGCGTAACAGACGAAGATACCGATTACTATATACCCTCCCTTTTCAAGCGGGGGTATAATAAAGTATGAGATATATCTGATACAGATCTGATGCAAATTAACTATACATGCATTAATATATAAACGCGAATCTGGTAATGAAAATCAAACTGGGGGCATTTTTCAGTTGTTTTCATGTTTTTTTTTTATTTTCCTAGAAAAAGACATTAATAGATTAATGGTAACCTCATAGCCAAGCTTTATGAGAAAAAGGGATGCCTTTAACTTTTCAATCGTCAACTTCCCTTACTTATGCAGCAATATACCTTCATCACCTGCAAACGGGGTTAATACGAGCATGCTCTACGTATTAATTTCTAAAACGAGGTTAGCTATTGACATATAAGTTGACGAAAGAAGAATATCAGCAGTCTGGTTTAAAGTCATCATTTCCTAAGTTCTTCGGTCGATATAATGACCTTGTCAACAAATAGAATTTATCACTGAGTCAAATGCTGACTGGATTTTTCATACTAATTGTTAGTCCATTATAAATACAATGAATTGACTACGGATTTTCCCGTTATTTCCCAATAATGACAAGGGGCACACGGCGGGTGTGACCGATCAGCAGGGGATGCTCGCTCCTCCATGACACTTGATCCCACCTCTGATGTTTAAGAGGTCCTCGTTTGCTCTGCGAAAAAATGTATTGTTTAATGGACGATTGAGCTTGAATAATATTTATATAGATCTATATTGAAAAGTGGGCGTCTGTCTGCTACGCTCTGGGGTACCCATCTCTTATCCGCGACTCATAAGACCTTTTATGAGACTTTCCCAGAATCCCTGTTATAGTGCCATTGTGCACCTTCTATTTTACTCTTAGATCCGACACATGTATTGAGTTTCCCATAAAAAAACATGGATACTGCCATTCTTTCTATAATATCGTAGGGTACCAATCTCTTATCCGCAACTCTTCTCATACCACTAAAAGAAATTTTATGATACTTTCACAGATTCTTTATTATATAATGCCATTATGCAACTTCTATTTTATTTTTTGATCTAAAAAATATGTCGGATCACCCAAAGCAATACATGAACTTTGCCGTTATAATCATAAGGGAAACTAGGGGTGTGATTTAGTAAGCTCGTGCTTACAGTACCTATAGTTTAAAATATCACAAGCTTAAAAAATCCTTGATCCAATTCTGATTTAACCGGACGTTTTAGTTTCTCGCTTAGCTGTGTTTGACACAGATAGTGATGAAGGTGAGCAATAAAGAACGGATATTTTTCACCTAAATCAAGAGTAAATATAATTATTTAATCTTCCGAAAAAAATCAACGTTGCGAAAAACGGTTGTTTTTCAAAAATGCTGATATGGACATGCTTACTAAACTATCCACATAACTTTACTCCTGTAATGGTCTTTTCCTTGACATTTTTTTTTGATATATATTGGGTTGTAAAATATCAAAAAAGTTTCCTATCAAAAATGCATACTATATAATAAGACTTAGAGATACACACAAAGAATAACAAGCGACACGAACAATAAAAATTGTCAAAGCCCCCTTGTGTCAAAATCCTTCTTACTCTTGAGATTTAGAAAATACTAGTATTTATAGGGCTAAGAAATAAAAGCATTAAGCAGCGCAACTATGCTACTGACCCCTATAATTTACAATTTTGCAGGGTTTTTACTATAGAAAACGTTCATTGATACATATGTAGATACGAACAGTATTCAAGATCAAAGGTCCCTAAATACTGTAGTAATACAAAATAGGAGCAGAGCAAACACGGGCTTCCAAAACATCAGGGGTAGGATCAGGTGCCATGGAGGAGTGAGCATCCCCTGCCGACCGGTCACGCCCGCCGTGTGCTCCTTGTCATGTCGGGCAATATTCCCCCCCCCCCCTTTAAAAAAATATAAACGCCAATACGTGCCTCCTAGGTTAAAGTGTTAATGTGGAACATCTCTTGTTATGCCTTCTATTAAGCTTTGGCGATCTTTCTTTGTTGCTTTCTTCACATCTCTATTGCAGTTGGAATATTGTCCTCTTAGTCTCAGTCTCTCTTTTATTCTTTCCGAGTGGTTGTTACATGAGTTAGTTTAAGGTCTTTCCTTTTGACAATGATATTCCAAGTATCTGGTTAATCCATTCCTTATGCACCTGCCTCTTAAACCCTGGAGTCTTCTTGCTTGATTCAGTAAACAGGTTGCTCGTCAACCACTTCATTTTCAACACCACCACATTGCAAGACCTGAAATCTGTTCTTGAGCTAAAGTCTTGTCTCGCTTTGTTTTCTCTCAGCTTGTCTGTATCTATTCGCCTTATGTCGTTTTTTGGCGCTACTTTCATCAGCTTGAGCTTTATGTTGGCTGCAACAAGCTGGTGATCACTTCCAACATCAGCCCCACGCTTCGCTTTTACATCCTGTAAAGATCTTGACCATTTTCCATTGATAGCAATGTGGTCGATTTGGTTTTTATCTCTCCCTCCAGATGACACCCACCCATGTGAGAGTGTTCCACCAATGACCAAGTTGTTGTTTCAAAAGAATTCCATGAAGTACATGTGTATTCACCATTCTCATTCATACTTTCCCATAACTCTTTCATAACCAACATTATCGCTTCCAACTTTCGCATTGAGATCTCCCGTGATGATCGTTAGATCTTGCTTTTGAACTTTTTGAAATTCGGCCTGTAGAGCCTCATAAAATTCCTCTTTAATCTCATTTTCTGCTTCATTTGTAGGGGCATAAACCTTATTATAGATGTCTGTACAGGTTTTGTTTTTCAGTCTTACTTTAATGATTCTTTCATTTACTGGATGGTATTCTACTAATGCTTTTGCTGTTTTATTTAGGATGATTGCTACCCCCTCATGATTTTGATTGTCCCTTCTTCCAGAGTACACAATACTTCATCTGTACTGGCAATATTCTTCCCACAATCTGTCCATCTACACTAACTTATGCCTAGAACCTGTAGCCTGTTTTCCTTCATCTCTCAGAACTTGAGCCTGTTTTCCTGTTTCATACATGGTACGTACATTCCAGAAACCGACTCCCATTTTAGTTCGTGTGTTCAGTATACTACTAACATGTTCACAGTCAAACATGCAGTATTCTGCTGGTATGCTGAATACTGGAGATTAGTAGAAATATTCCTAGTCCTTGTTTCCGTAATCGCTATGATTTTAAAGGAAGAGGAGATTATCCCCTTGCCCAACCCCAAACCTGGAGGACCTGGGTAATTTGTTTATGGTTTCCTCCCACTAGATCTATAGCTTTCCATGGCTGACGAGACTAGATCTGCCCGTAATGTTATCTTCTCCTAGGTAACTGCCTTACCCAGCTAATGCCCTTACCTGAGCGGATTTCTGTAGGGTTTACTCCTTAGCCTTTCCTTCTCCCAAAGGTAACCACAAGGCAGCGGTTTGTTGCTATCAACCCATAAGCGGGCACTAGGATTGTAGGCATCAAGACATATCCACACACCAGTGGGTCGTACATGCCGTGCCTTTAGGGGCCTAGTTTCCTCCAAGACCCTGTGGTTCTGCTTGGGGCCGCAAGGGACCCAATGTCCATCTGCTACCTCGAGGAGGATCCCATATCTGGGCCACATAGGTCTAACTGTGGAGAGGCTGTACCTGGCATGGAAGACTTACATATTTTGCTTCTTTTCACAGCAAACTGTTAGTCAGGGGTGGTGTGTAATAGAAGGCATTAAGTTTATGCTCTGTCTGATTAGATGTCTGTTCGTCGGTTAATTCGCCTGTTTGTTCGCGAACTTCAATCTTTCCTATAACCTTGAACTGAGTGGAGATATGACTTTCATATTTTACATGGGTAAATCTTGTGATATGCCCTTGGTTACCTACAGTTTGACTTATTGACCTTAGAGTTTGACCTATGTTTGCAAAATTTTAAATGACTTTAACCTTGCCCATATCTTTTAAACTTTCGAACAGCAAAACAAAGAATCAAATCGTTCGTTGCAGGATGTAAGAGCTATGAGAGGAGCAGATTTTAATTCCGACCACCACATGTGACTAGCCAATGTGAAAATCGAACTGGCAAAGAATGCAAAAATTGAGAAAAAGACAATAAAGTACAATGTAGACAAACTGAAAAACTTGTTTGATAAGGACATATTCCAATTAGAACTAAGGAATAGATTCAGTGCACTATACAGTGAGGATCAAGAACTAGATATTGAGGGTGAATGGATGATTGCTGGAAGGGATATAATCAAAAATACATGTGAAGCAGTCCTAGGATGAAAAACCAACAAGAAAGAATGGATGTCTGATACTACATGGCAGAAGGTTGAAGAAAGGCGTAATAAGAAAACAAGAAAACAAAAGAGTAATCACATGTCAAGCACCAAATTTTAGACAAGAAAATTTTTTTTTAAACCCATGCAGGAATGATAAATGAGAGTATATTAACCATCTTGCAACAGAAGCAGAAAAAGCTACCTGCATGTGAGATTTACAACATCACCAAAACATTAAGTAGACGTAAAACATGCAAGTCTAAATAGATCAAAGACAAAGATGGTAAAGTCCTCACCAAACTAAATGAACAAATGAAAAGGTGGAATAAACACTTCATTAATGTCTTTAATAGGCCAGAAACAGACCAACCGGTAACCTTACAACCAGGGGAAGATCTTAACCTAAAGGTTGACAATATAAAGAAACAGGAAATCAAGGAAGCCTTGAAATCATTGAAGAATGGTAAAGCGGCTGGAGTAGATGGTTTACAGGCGTTGAAATATGGAGAAGAGATAAATGAATACCTGTTTAAACAATTCAATAAAATCTGGGAAGCTGAGAGAATATCAACAGAATGGAAAAAAGGGCTACTTGTTAAACTGCCAAAAAAGGGAGACCTAAGCTGCTGTGAAAACTGGAGAGGCATTACCCTGCTGCCAGTAGCTAGCAAGATCCTATGTAGAGTAATACTGAACAGGATAAAAGATGCGGTGGATACAGTTTTACGGGATTAACGGGCAGGCTCCAACAAAGGCTGTACTGACCAAATTGCAACTCTGCATGAGCATTGTCGTGGAGCAATCTTTTGAATGGCAATCATCTCTGTTTATAAATTTTATCGACTTTGAAAAGGCATTTCACATGATTTTATAGGATTGGTGCCAAGATTTTCACACTTGACATGCGTATTCCTTCTGAGAGGCTCCTTAAGGTACTAACTATTTTGATCCTCTGACCTTCGAGTTTGATTAACTTTTGAGAAAATTGATCTTTGGTCATAGCTTTTGAGTGACTAGGCTAAAATTTTACATATAACAAGTGCTTTGAACGATTAGTGCTAGATTTTTCCTTAGGCCCCATTTATTTTTACTCTTTGACCTTGGAATTTTGACTACTTTAGAACTTTAACCTTAGCCACAATTTTTGAACTGTTGGTGCTATGGCTTCTACATTTCACAGGTGTAGTACTTCTTGCTTTCTTTGAGTACCAATTTTTTATTTCTTGATCTTGGAGTTCTACTTGCATATGAAAAACTTTAGATTCATTATGATCTGCATAACATTGGCTTCAGTGTTGAAAAACACATCTTGTATCATTTTTTTATATTAAGGTGACGAATTTTGGTTCTCCATTTACTCAAAACTAGCCTGCAGGTCACTTAAGAAAGATATTTACTTGATACAGATCATGGTACATAGTCAGCATGAAAGTGTCTATGAAAGGGTTCCTCCTACCTCTACTTACTAAAACATTTATGTAAAACGAATTATTACATGTATTTAGCCTAGAATCAACAATGTTTTTGTGAACAAAAGCGCTAATCTAGGCTCAATAGGTCAAACCCCTATTTATTTACATGTAGAAGTGAACCTTCGGTCATCTAAAAGTAAACTAGTTTCAGTTTAAATTCCTGTCTAAAAATTGCTGCAATCTAAACAGAATATTGAAAATAAGGAACAACTGTCTGACTCAATTTAATAAGTTTAGTATTACCAAAGACTCGTGGACTTTGACAGTCACCTGAATATCGTCAATATTATCTTCAGTTTGGTGACTTTGTTGTGATATATATCAATTACTTAAGTTTTTTTTAAAAAGGATAAATAACAATTTTTTATTTATTTATTTTTTTTTTAGAAATCAGCTATATTTCTCACAGATTTACATTCAGATTGGTAACCTGAATAATGTTTATCAAGTATAGTTGGAGAATTGTATAAGATTTCGTTATAAGGTTAAAAATTTGTGCAAAATTTTGTATGGAATTACATGAAGAACAAAACAAAGTCTCATGTCTAGGCATCAACGAAAAACCTACAATTTTTTTTTTATTTCAGGGATTTATTATTTATGTCATTTCAAATCAAAATCAGTCAAAAAATATAAATCAATCCATGTATCCATTTTTTGTTTGTGTTAAGTATCCTTAATAGATAATTGTATACGCATACAAAACTTCTAATACCAAACATTCTTGTTAAAATTCTTTATTATTACCCTGTTATTCTTTTTTTGGGCCAGAAATACTTATCATTGTTAAACACGTACATTCAGGAATCCTCTATAAAGTATATGAAAATGTTCTATGAAAAAAGTGATGAGGTAGTAGATACAAGGTTAAATAATGAATGATTAACAGTGGATTCTTGTCTGTAACACACAGCTTCGATCAGGTAAGCAAAGCTCATTATTCTTACTACAGCAACTAACTTTAATTCACATATACATAAATTATATTTACACAGTAATAACTCATGTGTGTAAAAAATGTGCATTTATAAATCTGATCCCTACTTTTTTTTAAAAACAGGAATGAAAAATAAATGGAAATTTCAATGCTGTAATATATGCATATTGGTTGTAGATGAAATGCATATTTAATACTAAAAAAATACAAAAAAAAAATATACATTTAAGTATTATTCTCCATCATAAAATTATATGGCACAAAAATAAATATCAATTATTTTCTTTGCATTAAAAACCTGTTACATTATACTATAGTACATGTAACTGGAAACAAAATGCTTCAAAAATATTAGAGTACAATGTTCCATGTTTTTTAATTGTACAAAATTTTAAAAATATACAACTGTATATATAATTGCTGAAGATTAAAAAAAATCATATCAAGGTGGGAAATCTACAACACAAAAAATAATATAAATACAATCATGTGCATAATTTTTTCAAATAGTTTTTGTAATTTATATTTAAAAAATACCATTTACAAATATATTACTTGAAACTTAAAATTCAATTAAAAATCAAACATTTAGTTTTGATTTTATCAAATAATCACCATAAATATATTTATTAACATAAGAAGAGATTCTTCTACAAAATATAATGGTGTAAGCAGTGGAAACCTGATCTAAATAAATAACAAAAAATATGTTTCATAAAGACCAGGCACACAAAACTAACCCAGAGTACATGACAAACACAAAACTGTACTTTCAATCAGCACTACTCATAACTATTTACATTCTAGACTCAAATAGAGCTCACTACATACAACTCATAATCTGTTTTAAGTAATAGAGATGGACATACAGATTCAGAAAAAAAAACTTTCATTTTGTACTTCAGAATATTCTAGCTGCCTATATATTGAATTAAGTTTATTTTTAAGAAAAATTTTACAAAAAAGTTTACATTAAGATACAGCAAAACTCGTTCAGTACAAACACAGATATGCAAATTCACGGATATAGCAAAGTCATCTTGGATCCCCAGCTATACACAATTTAACAAAGTCCATATAAGGATATAATGAATTACGGATATAATGAAGTTATTTTATGGGTCCAAGTAACTTTCTTATAACCAAGTTTTGCTGTAATTACAATTATGAAAATACAGTCAAGATAAAGAACACTATATGCAGTCTTGAATGTGATTACATATGTAACATGAATCTTTAAATTAGAAATCATTAATGAACAAGAATTTTTCTTTAAAACTTACTAATTACATCATACATATCAATAAAATTGTGTCCTTTTTAACAACAAAGTTTCGCCAAGCTCTGTTTTATCAAATTCAGACGAGTTAAATAAATTCACAAGAACATGACAATTATACCCTCCACAACTTATAGCTATTGTTATACTAGTATCATCTTGTCCAATCCTACCTACAACATTGCACCCTCCACAATTCATTGCGTTAGTTATAAATATCAGTCTCTCTAGTCTTATCTATAAAATTACACCCTCTACAACTCATTTAGTTAGTTATAAATATCAGTCTCTCTAGTCTTATCTATAAAATTACACCCTCTACAACTCATTTAGTTAGTTATAAATATCAGTCTCTCTAGTCTTATCTATAAAATTACACCCTCTACAACTCATTTAGTTAGTTATAAATATCAGTCTCTCTAGTCTTATCTATAAAATTACACCCTCTACAACTCATTTAGTTAGTTATAAATATCATCCTGTCATTGTGTGAAGTCCTAGCTATAACATCCTTGACTGGTTGTTGCAACATCAATATGTAAACATGATTGAACATTGCAGTTAGCGAACTATAGCCTCATCCTGGTTTTCACAGTAGAAGTTAATGTCTTTTACCGGTACTCATCAACTTGCCATGGACAATTCATTTTTCTCTTCTGACATGGATTTTTGTAGGACTCCTTTTTCAATTTTTGAAAGCCCAAGCATATCACAGACCATTTGCACCATTTTTGTGCATTGCACATTTTTTCAGCATTTCATGGTTAACATATGTAACTCAAAAACTAATGCTCAGCAGCTGTCTCATCTTCCTATTTCATTTTCTTTGAATCACACACATAGGGCTGTGTTAATAAAATATCACAGAATTTACATCCTGTATGAAATTTGGTGATTGTTTTCAACACATCTTGGCGTAAATGCTCAGTCCTTGTAAAATAAGATACTAAATGTCCAATCTTGATTCCTTTGGCTTTCATGTTGTCCAGAACTTCTGTCCGAAATGGACTGCCTCCTTTGCATCTGGCACTACAAAATATTAACAGTAATCAGTAATCCAAAGACAAGAGGCCCATGGGCCTTATAGGTCACCTGAGCATTATGCAACAACTTTCCAGTGATTTCATTTGATTCATGTTTTAAGCCAGATGCTATGGCGTTCACAATTTTGAAAGAGGCACCATTGATCATCATAACAATACACTTAGCAGTTGCTTAGTTTGTTTACTTAATACCCATAGGCAGGGTGGGGGAACAAAAAATGCATTTCAAGTAATCAGTAATATTCAGCAATAACCAGTAATGCCCCTATCACACATAAACCCCTGACCCTTAGGCCTAGATCCACACATTGCACAATTTTTGAAAAGGCACCCTTGCTTTTCAAAAATATTTGATTAATACCAAGGAGCAGATCTCAAACAATTCATCCAGTTTCAGTATATAAGTACACCCCCCCCCCTATGGTACCCCTGACCCTGGGGCCTTGAAATTCACAATTCTGGAAGATTAGGGTCCTTGCTCATCATAACTACATAGGTAGTTCATCTGCTTAATATCCAAGAGAAGAGAAGAAAATTTTCAAAGATTTAATGTATTTTCACTATATAATCAATAGAGCCCCGCCCTATCACTAGAACCCCTGACCCTAGGGCCATAAAATCAAAATTTTGGAAGAGGTATTCTTGCTCATCATAACTATTTACTTAGTTTATTTAATTCCTCGGAGCAAAAAAGAAATTTTTTCAAAGAATTCATGTATTTTCATTATTTAATCAATAGAGCCCCACCCTAACACCTGAACCCTGACCCTGGGGCCATAAAATTCACAATTTTGGTAGAGGCACTCTTGCACATCATAACTATGCACTTAGTTAGTTTATTTAATACCCAGGAGCAGAGAAGAAGATTTTCAGAGAATTCATGTATTTTCACTATATAATCTATAGAGCCCCGCCCGAACACCAGATCCCCTGATCCTAGGGCCATAAAATTCACAATTTTGGTAGAGGCACTCTTGCTCATCATAACTATGCACTTAATTAGTTTATTTAATACCCAGGAGCAGAGAAGAAGATTTTCAAAGAAATAATGCATTTTCACTATATACTTATTTAGCCCCGCTCTAGCAATAGAACCCCTGACCCCAGAGCCATGAATTTCACAATTTTGGTAGAGGACTCAATGCTAATTACAATCATGCAAACAGTTTGACTGCTTGATGTCCAGGAGTAAAGAAGAAGATTTTTAAAGATTGCATTAATTTTAGTGGTTTTTGCCCCACCCCCCAGGCCCCAGGGGGGCAGGGACCATGAAATTCACAATTTTTGTTCCCCTTCACCCATAGATGCTTGTGCCAAATTTGGTTGAAATTGGTTCAGTGGTTGCAGAGAAGAAGCTGAAAATGTTCAAATGTTAACGGACGACGCACAACGACGGACGAAAACAGATAGCAATAGGTCACCTGAGTTTACTCAGGTGACCCAATAAAGCCAGGGGTCTGGGGACCAAATAAATTTAGTCACTGGCCTTTATAGAAACTGTGACACTCTTCTAGCCTTTGGGAGTCAGGGAGCGTAAAGAAATAAATCTACACTATATAAATGTATGTAACTGATACTTGATTTCTTAAAAGGCAACTGCTTATATTGTTCTTGAGCGAGAACTTCTTGCATGAACTACTGTAAATCCAAAAGTAAATTCATAATGAATGATGTTCATTTGGAGCACAGGAATATTTTTGAAAATAAGAAGATTCTATAAGAATACTTGAAATTCTCTGATTTTTAAAAACTTTTTTTGCTTTAAGACTGAGCAGAAAAACACCAAGTTTTTTCTGGTTGTTTGCTTATGCTGTACAATAAGACAATATTTATAAGTATCAAATTTTCAGGATTTTCTGAATTAAATCTGGTAAGCTACATGTATACATTATTTTTACCATATTCTAATGGTGTATCTAGAAACCCATTGAGCACATTGCTCACCTGAGCACATTGGCTAGAAGAAAAATCTAATGAAAATTGTACTGTAATATTGTAATTGTATTGTAAAACAAGTAAATGTAATATTGAAAAGGTTAAATATAGGTGATCACAATTACCCCCCTTACCTGAAAAAAGATGGGCCAGATTTATTCACATTTGAATCTATAGTAACTAAGTGTGCTTTCATATTTCTTTGACTTTAATCATGCCTTTAGATTTTTTTTCTACATGTTTGATCTTCATTTTTGGCCCCGTCCTACCCTCAGGGGACATGATTTGAACTAATTCATATATACCTTTAAGGCTTATCTAATGATGTTCGAAATATGATTAATCAGTTAATTGCTATTCCTTAGATTTTAACAATCTATCCTACATATTCTCATGTAAAACTTTGATTACAAATTATGGCCCCTCGATCCTACCCTAGGGGATCATGATTTAAACAATCTTAAGGTAGGATTCTTCTCACATTTCTTGTATTTAAAAATTAATGAAATTTTCACAGAATCAAGAGGACAATATCACTAAGTGATTGTATCAGTGAGATTAAATTTGACCGTTTAATATTAGAGGCAAGGTCGGGTCAAGGTCATTACCTTTTCCATGGACATTAAGAATGAAAAATTACTGTTTCCAATCATGCGATCCCTACTTGTAATTCAAAAGATTGAATGTTTTTTCTTTTTGCATAAAAAGATACTACCATATAGGGCCTATAAGATGATATTACCAAATTGACATGGATAATTCAAATAAAATGGATATTTGCTAATCCGAATTTCCTCTATTTTTCTTAATTTTTTAGGATTTATTAGTTATTTTTATATGCTTCCTATATTTAACTTTTTCCAATTTTCACATATAGTAAAGTTGTCACATAAAAGTACAAAATGATACAAAAACTAAAAGTTTTGATCGTTTACTAAGAGAGAAATAACACTTTTATACGGATTTTTGCTCAAATCTGTACTTAGATCTGAAGCATTTAAAAGCCAACATAGTTCTAGTATGTGTGAAAATCTTATTTATTTGATATATGAAACTTAAGTCCCTTATTATTAATTTAACTTACATTTGAAAAAGTCGTCTAGTCTTTGATTGCGCAAAAATTGTAACTAAATTCAATGTACTATAATAATTTAGATAGACAGAAAAGAAGATATTTTCATATGCCACCATTCCGCCAAAAATATAGTCCCTGACAGTTTTCAAATGCAGTTTATCATTTCTATTTAAAGTTGTATAATTGTGATGAGGAAAGAAAAATATGGTCTTTTAAATCTCTTACATTTAAATATATAAGACATATCAACAAATATACTTTGAATATTCCATCTAGTCAGAAACCAGAGAAGGATCCTACCTTAAATGTAAACTAATTGCTTGAAGATACTACCATATAAATGTGTCTTTTCATTGGTTTCTTTTTCTTGAGAAAAATATCTTAAAAGATTTTCTTTATTTATACTTTTTATTGCCCATTGTGACCCTCCCAATCCAAAAGCAGACATGCCTACCCTTCCGCTTTTGGCGTAATTTTGCCGCTTTTTACCACAAAATTACGCTATTACGCCACTTATATTAATTTTACACTTTTGATATTTGGGTTAAAATTTCATTATGAACGTCTAAATTTACAGTTAAAGTACGACACGCTGAAATGAAATGAGAAGTTCTTATAAAAGTAATTAAAAAAGGACCAGTTCGATTATGTATGTAATATACCTAGTAGTTATATATAAACTGGTATGGCGAATATTCAAAGAAGACGAGAAAGCACCACTTACATTAACAATTAAACGATATTGCAAAATGCACAGCCATTTCTCTGCTCAATTTAGTTTATTTTAACATTCCTTAGAACAAGATAGCGAAATGTGAGTGTTATAAAGATTAAAAAAAAATTTGTTATATTGTACGATTTGTTTTAACATTCAAACGCAATCCTTCAATTAATTGATTTGATACAAAATGACCAAATGCTTCATTAATGAATTTGATATATAGGATACTGATATTTTACGACACTTTTTGCCAATAGATGATTCGAAAAATTAAGAAAAGTTAATGCCAGCTTTGTTTAGTAATGTACAATTTCGGTTGTTTTGAAATAAAATGAAGTATTATAGTAAAACAAATAAAATAGGCAAACATGATTGATTACGCTTTTACCTCTGAAATTACACCAAAAATGCACTGAAATTACACCCTTAAAATGAAAAGGGTAGGCAGGTATGCAAAAGGGTAATGATTTGAACAAACTTGAATTTACACTACCTGAGGTTGCTTTCAAAAAAATTTCACCAATCAAGGCTTTACTTTTCTTAAGAAGAGGTTTTTAAAAAGATTTTTCCTAGACATTTCTATGTAAAACTTTGATCCCCCAATGTACCTTAATCCTAATCCCAGGGGCCACGATTTAAACAAACTTGAATCTACATTATGTCAGGAAGCTTTCACATACCAGTAAGTTTCATCTTTTCTAGCCCAGTAGTTCTTGAGAAGAAGGTTTTTAAACAAAGGCCCATGGGCCACATAGCTCACCTGAGTAACTTGGGTGATGCAGTTCTTTAGCAGATTTCCCCTCTTGCTATACCTATCGTGCCCTCCCTACCCCCTCCCCTTACATGATTTTAATACTTTAGAATCTACACTACCTGACTATTGTGGCCCCTCCTTACCCCCAAGGGTCATGATTTTAACAATTTAATATCTACACTACACAAGGATGCTTCCACATAAGTTTCAGCTTTCCTGGCCCAGTGGTTCTTGAGAAGAAGACTTTTAAAGATTTGATCTATATATTTCTATGTAAAACTTCGATTCCCTATTGTGGCCGCACCCTACCCCCAGGGGTCATGATTTTAACAATTTAACATCTACACTACCGAAGGATACTTCCACATAAGTTTCAGCTTTCCTGGCCCAGTGGTTCTTGAGAAGAAGATTTTTAAAGATTTGATCTATATATTTCTATGTAAAACTTGGATTCCCTATTGTGGCCCCACCCTACCCCCAGGGGTCATGATTTTAACAATTTAATATCTGCACTATCCAAGGATGCTTCCACATAAGTTTCAGCTTTCCTGGTCCAGTGGTTCTTGAGAAGAAGACTTTTAAAGATTTGATCTATATATTTCTATGTAAAACTTTGATTCCCTATTGTGGCCCCGCCCTACCCCCAGGGGTCATGATTTTGACAATTTAATATCTACACTACCAAAGGATGATTCCACATAAGTTTCAGCTTTCCTGGCCCAGTGGTTCTTGAGAAGAAGATTTTTAAAGATTTGTTCTATACATTTCTATGTAAAACTTGGATTCCCTATTGTGGCCCCGCCCTACCCCCGGGGGTCATGATTTTGATAATTTAATATCTACACTACCCAAGGATGATTCCACATAAGTTTCAGCTTTCCTGGTCCTGTGGTTCTTGAGAAGAAGATTTTTTAATAACCCCACCCTATTTTTGTCTTTTCTTGATTATCTCCCTTTGTAAGGGGATTTGGCCCTTCATTTTAACAATTTAAACTCCCCTTCAGCCAAGGATGCTTTGTACCAAGTTTGGTTAAATTTGGTCCATTGGTTTTTGAGAAGAAGTCGAAAATGTGAAAAGTTTACAGACGGACGGGGGGACAGACGGACGGACAATGGAAAAAATGTGATCAGAAAAGCTCACTTGAGCCTTCGGCTCAGGTGAGCTAAAAACCCACCAAATTTTCACTACATTCTAGTTATCTACCCTTGGAAGAGGATAAATACTCTGTTCCAAGTATGGTTGAAATTGGCACGCCTGTTCTGGAAAAGAAGATGAGAATGTGAAATATTTATGACATTAGCGACAATGTCAATGACCAAAGACAACTGACAAATTTCAATCAGAAATGCTCACATGAGGCTTTAGCTCAGGTGAGCTAAAAAGTTTTCCTAAGAATATATCCTTTAACAAGATGTGTTTGTGAAACTTTATGCGCCCGATGGCAACAAAGTTAAAAAAAGAAGCTATTTTTAGCATATAGGTCACAGTCAAGGTCACAAGGTCATTGACCTTGATGTCATTTGAACGAACTTGATTAGTAGAGTATGCATACCAAATATGAAGTCTATCTCTCATGGTTCAAAAGTTATGATGAAGGTTCAAAAAAGCTATTTTTTACATATAGGTCACAGTCAAGGTCACAAGGTCACTGACCTTGGTGTCATTTGAAATAGCTACATTATTGGAATATGCAGAGTAAATATGAAGTCTCTATCTTTGATGGTTCAAAAGATATGGTAAAGATTAAAGTTTGCAGACAAAAAATATTTTAAGCGAATTGGTCACAGTCAAGGTCACAAGGTCATTGACCTTAGTGTCATTTGAAAGAGCTTTAGAAGTGGAGTATGCATGCCAAATATGAAGTCTCTATCTTTCATGGTTCAAAAGTTATGGCAAAGGTTAAAGTTTGCAGACAAACAGACAGGACAAAAACAATATACGCCCCAGATCTATCGATCCGGGCTCTTAATAATATCAAATTAAAGGATAAACAAGAAATGTTTGTGAAACATTTATGCCCCCCCCCTTTGGACATACATTACAGGGTCACAATCCTTTACTATGGGCAATAATACATGTATACTTATGAGCAGTGTACTGTGTACATGAAAATGAAAAAAATCTATTCCGAGTTTCATTTCAGTATGTTCAACCTTTGCCAAGAAAATGAACAGAAAATGCAAATAATTGGAATTTTTCTAAGTCCAAAGGGTATAACTCTGTCAAAAATTGTTCACTCATCCAAAACAAAACCTTATTGTTAATCTGTGTACCAAACTTTATTTCAGTTTGTGCAACCTGTGCAAAGAAAATGAATGGACAATGCAAATAATTGGGATTCTAAGTCCAAGAAACATAACTTTGTCAAAAATTGTACCCCAAACAGAACTTGACCCAAATATTCTTATGATAAATCTGTATGCATACCAAATTTCATTTCAGTATGAGCAACCTCTACAAAGAAAATGAACAGAAACTGTTGGTTAACAGACAGACTGACCAACCAACCGACAGACAGCAGCAAAGCAATATGCACTTCCTTCTTTGTCTTACGCTATGGCAATAATCTTGTAGTCTTCCAATTCTAATACATCTTTGGCAAAACCCTTCCAGCTTTTTGCTGGGGTATAGTAATCGTCAGGATCCAGTAAGTCACTTAAGTCTTCCAGATGATTGTAGCTGTCAGGACTATCAATAAATGCTGCAATGGTGATGGAACATTCCTCGGGATCTAGTGAAAACAATAGAATGATGTGAAAGTGTTGTATTAACAAAATAGGTTTGGAAAAATGCCTTGCCTGATTACTTATTTGATATATTACTAGATAATATTGATTTATAAGATAAGACAATATGTATTTAAAGTCGGGTACATAAAAAAAACAATGTGTTTGTGAAACACTATGTGCCCGACAGCGACAAAAATTGAAAAGGCTATTTTTAGCATATAGGTCACAGTCAAGGTCAAAAGATCAATGACCTTGGTGTCATATGCATTGGTATGCATACCAAATATGAAGTCTCTATCTCCTATGGTTCAAAAGTTATGGAGAAAGTTCAAAAAAAGCTATTTTTATCATATAGGTCACAGTCAAGATCACAAGGCCATTGACCTTGATGGTATTTGAAAGAACTCAATTAGTGGAGTATGCATACCAAATATGAAGTCTACATCTCTCACGGTTCAAAAGTTATGGCAAAGGTTAATGTTGACAACAGACAAACAGAGAGACAAACAGACAGACAGGACAAAAAGAATATACGCCAGACAAGAGGCCCATGGGCCACATCGCTCACCTGAGAAGCTTTGACCATTCTGTTCTTTACCAGATTTCCCCCTTGTTATACATAATGCATCCCCACCCTACCCCAATGATCATAATTTAGACATTTTGAAATCTACACTACCCAATGATCCTTCCATGGGCACATATGTTTCAGCTTTTTTGGCCAAGTGGTTCCTGAGAAGAAGATTTTCAAAGATTTTTCCTATATATTTCTATGTAAAACTTTCATTCCCTATAATGGCCCCGCCCTTCCCCCGGGGGTCATGATTCCTACAATTTAGAATCTACACTATACCAGGATGCTTCCACATAAGTTTCAGCTTTTCTGGCCCAGTGGTTCCTTAGGAGAAGAAGATTTTCAAAGATTTTTCCTATATATTTCTATATAAAACTTTGATTCCCCATTGTGGCCCCGCCCTTCCCCGGGGGGTCATGATTTGAAGAATTTAGAATCTACACTACCCCAGGATGCTTCCACATAAGTTTCAGCTTTACTGGCCAAGTGGTTCTTGAGAAGAAGATTTTCAAAGATTTTTCCTATGTATTTCAATGTAAAATTTTGATACCCCATTGTGGCCCTGCCCTTCCCCCGGGGGTCATGATTTGAACAATTTAGAATCTATACTATACCAGGATGCTTCCACATAAGTTTCAGCTTTTCTGGCCCAGTGGTTCTTGAGAAGAAGATTTTCAAAGATTTTTCCTATATATTTCTATATAAAATTTTGATTCCCCATTGTGGCCCCGCCCTTCCCCCGTGAGTCATGATGTGAACAATTTAGAATCTACACTATAACAGGATGCTTCCACATAAGTTTCAGCTTTTCTGGCCCAGTGATTCTTGAGAAGATTTTCAAAGATTTTTCCTATATATTTCTATGTAAAACTTTGATTCCCCATTGTGGCCCCGCCCTTCCCCCGGGGTTATGATGTGAACAATTTAGAATCTATACTATACCAGGATGCTTCCACATAAGTTTCAGCTTTTCTGGCCCAGTGGTTCTTGAGAAGAAGATTTTCAAAGATTTTTCCTATATATTTCTATATAAAACTTTGATTCCCCATTGTGGCCCCGCCCTTCCCCCGGGGGTCATGATGTGAACAATTTAGAATCTACACTATACCAGGATGCTTCCACATAAGTTTCAGCTTTTCTGGCCCAGTGGTTCTTGAGAAGAAGATTTTCAAAGATTTTTCCTATATATTTCTATGTAAAACTTTTATTCCCCATTGTGGCCTCGCCCTTCCCCCGGGGGTCATGATGTGAACAATTTAGAATCTACACTATACCAGGATGCTTCCACATAAGTTTCAGCTTTTCTGGCCCAGTGGTTCTTGAGAAGAAGATTTTCAAAGATTTTTCCTAATATTTCTATATAAAACTTTGATTCCCCATTGTGGCCCCGCCCTTCCCCTGGGGGTCATGATTTGAAGAATTTAGAATCTACACTACTCCAAGATGCTTCCACATAAGATTCAGCTTTACTGGCCCAGTGGTTCTTGAGAAGAAGATTTTTTAATGACCCAACCCTATTTTTGCCTTTTCTTGATTATCTCCCCTTGCGAGGGGATATGTCCCTTCATTTTAACAATTTAAATTCCCCTTCACCCAAGGATGCTTTGTATTAAGTTTGGTCAAAATTGGCCCAGTGGTTCTTGAGAAGAAGTCGAAAATGTGAAAAGTTTACAGACGGACAGACAGACGGACAGATAGACGGACGGACGACGGACAAAATGTGATCAGAAAAGCTCACTTGAGCCTTCGGCTCAGGTGAGCTAATAAAACTAAATCAGAGAAAATTTTTTAAAATTATTATGATAATCAACTCCTGTATGAGATCTTCCGACTTATCAAGTATTACATAAAAACAGAGAGTCAGACAGACAAAGTGACAATACCCCATATACGAGTATTGGAGTATTTTCTTATACATGTAGTAAAATATTGTTAAAAACTGTGCAGCTAAATAGGCAAATAGGGCTGTCATGATTGACACATGACTCAAGAATCCAAAACTTTTTTTTTTTGGATCAGTTAAGTAAGATTTCGGTTTGGTTTTGGATTTCTTCTACACTAAGTGATTTTCTTTAATCTCAGATACAAAAGAAGTGTTGATTTTGATTTATGGGATTCAAAGGTCACAGAAAGGTCAGATATATGCTTTGTTCCTAGTTATCTCATATGCAAATTTTCATTAAATTTTAAGCAAATTTTCATTTAGAAAACACTAAGCACAAGCTTGCCTATATGAAAATTATATTTTTTCATGCACATTGATCATATGCACCTTGTGTACAAAAATCTCAGATAGGCAAGCCTCTGCTCTATTTTTTGGTCAGGGAAAAGTATCTCATATTTGACAATAAACTGTCAACAGATTTGATACAAGAGGCCCAGGGGCCACATCGCTCACCTGAGCAATTGGAAAAAGTACATATCAGATCAGAACTGCAAGTTTACTGGGATGGGGTGGGGCTTGAATTTTAACCCCCCAGGGGGCCATGATTCAAACAAACTAAAAATCTACACTACCTGAGGATGATTCCCTATAAATATCACTAAGCATGGCTTTGAAGTACTTGAAATGAAGATTTTAAAAGGTTTCCCTATACATTCCTATGTAAAACTTTTATTGGCCATTTGGCCCCACCCTACCACCGGGGGTCATGATTTGAACAAATTTGAATCTACACTACCTGAGGATGATTCCACATGAGTTTCATCTTTCCTGGCCCTGTGGTTCTTGAGAAGAAAATTTTTAAAGATTTTTCCTATATATTCCTATGTAAAACTTTGATCAGCCATTTTGGCCCCACCCTAACCCCGGGGGTCATGATTTGAACAAACTTGAATCTACACTACCTGAGGATGATTCCATGTGAGTTTCATTTTTCCTGGCCCAGTGGTTCTTGAGAAGAAGATTTTTGAAGATTTTTCCTATATATTCCTATGTAAAACTTTGATCGGCCATTTTGGCCCCACCCTACCCCCGGGGGTCATGATTTGTACAAACTTGAATCTACACTACCTGAGGATGATTCCACGTGAGTTTCATTTTTCCTGGCCCAGTGGTTCTTTAGAAGAAGATTTTTTAAAAATGCCATTAATTTTTCTCTCATTCATAATTATCTCCCCTTAGAAAAGGGCGTGGCCCTTTATTTGAACAAACTTGAATTCCCTTTACCCAAGGATACTTTGTAGCAAGTTTGGTTGAAATTGGCCCAGTGGTTCTTGAGAAGAAGATGAAAATGTGAAAAGTTTACAACGACAACGCCGACAAGGACGACGAAGACAGACAACGGACAAATTGTGATCAGAAAAGCTCACTTGAGCCTTTGGCTCAGGTGAGCTAAAAACTTGGTCAAAATTTCTTACTTTGGCATCAACTTGTGAATTCATATGAATAACAATAAAATATTATAAGATAGTCCACAAAAGAGAGTATTTTTCCAAAAAGCTGTTAAGTTTTATCCCTATGATAATTTCTGAACACACAGTAATAAAACAACCACAAATTTGGACCACTAATACTTGTATACACTTTTATTCAGAAAAGGAATAATTCTCTTACTGGGTTTCACTGAGAAATCGTCTTCGTTACTCCCTTCAGAAATGTGTGTGAGACAAGGCAGAGCTTGTAAGCCATATTGTTTCTCTACAGCCACTGTAGTAAGAGTGTCCTCTTTAGCATCACAAATCATTCCTGCAGTCTTTGCTCCTTTGTCTGGCTGGGACCTCCTGTTTACAGAGTTCTCCGCACCAGTGTCTGTTTCTGATTCTCTGCCAGAGTCCGCAGAAAACTGATGATTGTAACTTGGCACATGAGGTGACTTGTCACTGCCCTGAGAAGAACCCAGCTTAAAGTCAGCAGGATCTGATGTGGTAGAACTTGTCCCTGCGACAGACCCCCGGCCAGAGTCAGATCCCAGCACTCTCTTTTGGTGTCCACTTTGAGATCTATTCACTGGTTCAACTTTATCAATTTGTTCAAGAACAGAAGAAAGTCCTTCATTTGAACTATGAAACTGTGAAATGTTTCCAAAGCTGGATGATTCCTCGGGATGAGTAAGAGAATGATGGTTGAGATCTGGTGCTTCTGTGAGTTCTAAACTGTCTTCTGAAGAATTTAAGGACTGTACATCCAGGGAGGGAATAGGAGATTGGATTTCCTGGGAGCCACCGTCTTGAATAGATGGATTGCTGTGTAGCTGGATTTCCTGGGAGCCACTACTTTGAGTAGATGGATTGCTGTGTAGCTGAAATTCAGATTCCTCTACAAGTAGTTTGTCCAACATGGAGGGATCATGGGCAGGATTTTCAACTTTAATACCAGTATTATTATTACATGCTTCCAGCATCTCTCTGTTTTCTTCTCTTGAATCTGCTCTTTCTCTCCCTAATATTGGTACAATTTAAAACATTTCAATCAAAAATATTCCTTTGGAAGTAATATATACCTTTTATATGGTCCAAATAGAGTAAACTTTGTCTTTTGGTTACCTTCTCTGGGAGACTTTTTCCTCCTTTTCCACAGCAAACAAATTACTAGTATGCATATAGCTAAAGTGATCAACAGAAAGACTGCAGCTATGGCTATCACTGGAGGTAGTAAGTCTGAAATTGATAAGTTGTACAATATATCCAGTTTTATAGCTTTATAGTTCTACTACAAGGAATGGTATAATCTAAATTCTTATACAATGATAATAGTTCTAAAGTACATTTGTACCGGTATGTTCTTACTCAATTTGCTAGACATTTCAACATAAACTTTTTTTATTTAAATAAAGACCTGTCCTGATAAATAACACATTCAAAACAAATTTGAATTTACAAATAAATATTTAATGATACAATGCTTTTTGTTATTCCTGATTGTAATTTTGTCTATAAAAGGTTGGCATTGCTTACCTTTTTGTGTTTCATCTTCTCCCTCTGTCTTTCTTTCTACAAAAAGTCACAAGATTATGAATGCATTTGTCTCTGCCAACAAGTATTCTATTTTCTGAATGATTTTTTATCGCATAATCATAGATGTATTGCAAACTCAAGAAAATTCCCAAATACTGAAGGCTTAAATTCTCTAGACTTTAGTAATTTTTAGCTCACCTGAGCTGAAGGCTCAAGTAAGCTTTTCTTATCACATTTTGTCCGTCGTCCGTCCGTCTTTTCACATTTTTGATTTCTTCTCAAGAACCACTGGGCAAATTTTAACCAAACTTCCTACAAAGCATTCTTGTGTGAAGGGGAATTTAAATTTTAAAATGAAGGGCCAGGTCTTCTCACAAGGGGAGATAATCAAGAAAAGACAAAAACAGGGTGGGGTCATTAAAAAATCTTCCTCTCAAGAACCACCTGGCCATAAAAGCTGAAACTTATGTAGAAGCATCCTGGGGTAGTGTAGATTCTAAATTATTCAAATCATGACCCCCCAAGAGTTTGGCGGGGTCACAATAGGGAATCAAAGTTTTACATAGAAATATATAGGAAAATTTTTTAAAAATCTTCTTAGAACTATTTGGCCAGAAAAGCTTTAACTTATGTGGAAGCATCCTGGTATAGTGTAGGTTTTAAATTATCCAAATTATGAACCGTGGGATATGGTGGGGTCACAATAGGTATTGCAAGGGTGAAATCTGGTTAAGAATAGCATGGTCAAAGCTTTTCAGGTTAGCGATGCCGTCCATAGGCCTCTTGTTCATTATATGCTATTCAGCTGCTATATCATCGTCGGTAACCTATGAGCGATTCATGTCGATTCTCTCTATCGTCACGTTTGAGGAAACTTGCGGACTCAAAACCCGTGGTTTGCGACGATGCTGCTATATAATAAAGTGATTTATTGTATTTTATTCTTATAACTACCTCTTCCTTTCAGAATGTTAAAAGTTTCAATCAAGGTAAAATTTCAACAACACTGAAGAATTTATATATGTACAGTGAACTTAGGTGTCTCAAACACAGATATCTTGATTATCATAAATACCTGGGTATGTTGCTTTGGAAGTCCAAAATTTTTAATGTATTTTACCCTCAATATCTTGACCCCTCAGATACATACAGTAAAACTTGTTTGGTATGAACATGAATAGAATGAATTCATGGATATAGCAAAAATTCTTTTGCAATGTCCCGAAGATTTCTTCAGAAACATTTGTAAAATCTTAACAAACATGGATATTTCCAGATTAAGGTTATAGTAAACCAATTTTGTGTCCCCTTAATCTTAAAATAACGAAATTTACATCTTCATTAGATTTTTTTTTTAATTGAAAAAATTAATTAACAATTTTGTAAGTACATGTATTTATAATTTATCAATTATATGTATTTATATTTATATTCAAAATATAATTTTGAAACTCAAATAATCCAAAAAAGTTTGTTCAATGTAAGTTTTGTATTTTATACCTCTCTAAATACATTTGGTAGTCATACTTGCATGAAAAAAAAATCTATATTGCTTATTCGCTACGTATACAATATGAAATTCATTGTATGCATATAATCAATTACTGAAATGAATTCAAGTAAATTCACAAGTCCCTAGAAATTCCTAGAGATAACCAAGTTTGACTGAGTTTTTCATATGTCTAATCAAGTTCTAGATAACAAAGTTTGACTGTATTAATAAAAGTAACTTTGTAAGTTAACTTTTATCAGTTTATTAGTGTTTCAAATGTGAAACCATTACAATATACTGGAATGTGCAACAATGATTGAAACACCAATCAGTTAGGGATTACCTGGTAATTCTACAAAAACTGGTTCACTCTCCTGATAAGCCCTGTACTGGTTAAATGCAGTGACAGTGATGGTGCAATTCTTCTTTACCTCTAAGTTAGATATGATAAGTGAATTTGTTGTGGAGTTCTGAGTTAGAATGTTATCACCACATTGGATGTGAACAGTGTAACCAATGATAGACGTGTCATTTACTGGTGAAGTCCAGCTCACATTTACAGCACTGGTGTTCAAAACTTCAACATGAACTTGTTCAGGCATCGCAGGAGGGTCTGTGGAAAAACCAGAAGTCTCTGTCGAGACTGAAGCTCTACTGGTTTGTAATTATAGCAAAGGAAGAGAAAAGTACTTAAAAGCAGTTGGGAATTGAAACTTTTCAACAGCAATAAATAGAATAATGATCCTTGATTAAGTCTCTTTATGTTCTTAGTGTAGTCTACTTGCATGCCACATTATATTATAATCAGACTAAAACTGTATTTGGAGTAGCATTTTGAAAGAATTTCACAGAAATTTCTATTTTTAGTAACCACAGCAACACCGTTCATCAAAATCAAAAACCAATATACAGAATTATGTATCTTAGTGTAGTCTACTTGTGTGCCAAGTTATATTGAAATCAGACCAAAATTGTAGGAGGAGTAGCATTTTGTAGAAATTTCACAAAAAAATTCTATTTTTAGTAACCATGGCAACACTGTTCATCGAAATCAAAAACTGATACAGAGAATTATGTATCTTAGTGCAGTCTACTTGTGTGCCAAGTTATATTGAAATCAGACCAAAACTGTAGGAGGAGTAGCATTTTGAAAGAATTTCACAGAAATTTCTATTTTTAGTAACCACGGCAACACCATTCATCGAAATCAAAAACCGATAAACAGAATTATGTATCTTAGTGTAGTCTACTTGTGTGCCAAGTTATGTTGAAATCAGACCAAAACTGTAGGAGGAGTAGCATTTTGAAAGAATTTCACAGAAAGTTCTATTTTTAGCAACCAAGGCAACACCATTCATCGAAATCAAAAACGGATACACAGAATAATGTATCTTAGTGTAGTCTACTTGTGTGCCAAGTTACATTGAAATCAGACCAAAACTGTAGGAGGAGTAGCATTTTGAAAGAATTTCACAAAAAGTTCTATTTTTAGTAACCAAGGCAACACCGTTCATCGAAATCAAAAACCGATAAAGAGAATAATGTATCTTAGTGTAGTCTACTTGTGTGCCAAGTTATATTGAAATCAGACCAAAACTGCAGGAGGAGTAGCATTTTGAAAGAATTTCACAGAAATTTCTATTTTTAGTAACCACGGCAACACCGTTCATCGAAATCAAAAACCGATAGAGAGAATTATGTATCTTAGTGTAGTCTACTTGTGTGCCAAGTTATATTGAAATCAGACCAAAACTGTAGGAGGAGTAGCATTTTGAAAGAATTTCACAGAAATTTCTATTTTTAGTAACCACGGCAACACCATTCATCGAAATCAAAAACCGATAAACAGAATTATGTATCTTAGTGTAGTCTACTTGTGTGCCAAGTTATATTGAAATCAGACCAAAACTGTAGGAGGAGTAGCATTTTGAAAGAATTTCACAGAAATTTCTATTTTTAGTAACCACGGCAACACCGTTCATCGAATTCAAAAACCGATACACAGAATTATGTATCTTAGTGTAGTCTACTTGTGTGCCAAGTTATGTTGAAATCAGACTAAAACTGTAGGAGGAGTAGCATTTTGAAAAATTGTTTACAGACGGACAGACAGACAGACGGACGGACGACAGACGCATTACTATCGCATAAGCTCTTCTGGTCTCTGACCAGTAGAGCTAAAAATGAACTCTAATTAATGGTTTATAAACAGAGTTCTAGAGGACTTGAAGTGGAAAGTTATCTTGCACATGGGTCCTTAAAGCTCATGTTTATAGACAACGAAATGTTAGAAATTCAAACTAAACCTTATCTTTATCTACCATACATCTTCAATCATTAATTGTTACCCACTTACATATAGTGTTTTCCCCTCAAACTGCCTGAATTTTAATCTAAGGAAAATAGTTGATTTGCAATATTTCCATTTGTTTTCTCCATGATAACTCTTTGAAAGTTAGGTAAGTTGATTTCTTGATCATGTATGTACTGGAATGTATATGGTCAGGAGTAAAAATGCCCAATATGCATGGAGATCTTGTGCATTTGTCTCTGTGTTTGTCGTCAGGGGGTAGACTATTAAAATTGACATGGGGTGCCTCATGTAATACCGTATACGTAGAAATTTTAGCGAGGATTTAATTTTGGCATTATTAGCAAGGGTGACGAGATCATTAAAATTGAATTTCGTTAAAAATTAATTGCGTTTTATTTGTTCTAGCTTCTTTAAAGTGTATCTTAAAATCGCTAAAATAATATCCCGCTAAAAATAAATTACCAGTTTTTAAGGAAAAATCGCTAAATTTGCGTCTCGCTAAAATTTCCACTTATACGGTATTAATCTATTAGACATCATTTTTAAAATCTAAATTTACAATTTTATTTCAAAATGAAATGGAAATATAAACAAGAGGCCCATGGGCCACATTGCTCACCTGAGCACTGTGGCTAGGAAAAAGTAGAAATTGTTTTATTTTTTACCCCCAGGGGTCATGATTTCAACAAACTTGAATCTACAGTCCCTGAGGATGCTTCCATTAGATATGATGAATTATGGCTTTGTCATTCTTGAGAAGAAGATTTTTAAAGCATTTTCCTATATATTTCTATGTAAAACTTTCGTCGGCCATTTTGGCCCCGCCCTGCCCCAGGGGGTCATGATTTGAACAAACTTGAATCTACACTACCTGAGGATCCTTTCATATAAATATGATGAATTATGCCTTTGTCATTCTTGAGAAGAAGATTTTTAAAGAATTTTCCTATATATTTCTATGTAAAACTTTGCTTGGCCATTTTGGCCCCGCCCTACCCCTTGGGGTCATGATTTGAATAAATTTGAATCTACACAACCTGAGGATGCTTCCATATAAATATGATGAATTATGCCTTTGTCATTCTTGAGAAGAAGATTTTTAAAGAATTTTCCTATATATTTCTATGTAAAACTTTGGTCGGCCATTTTGGCCCCGCCCTACCCCTTGGGGTCATGATTTGAATAAATTTGAATCTACACAACCTGAGGATGCTTCCATATAAATATGATGAATTATGGCTTTGTCATTCTTGAGAAGAAGATTTTTAAAGAATTTTCCTATATATTTCTATGTAAAACTTTGGTCGGCCATTTTGGCCCCGCCCTACCCCCGGGGGTCATGATTTGAACAAACTTGAATCTACACTACCTGAGGATATTTCCCCATAAGTTTCATCTTTCCTGGCACAGTGGTTCTTGAGAAGAAGATTTTTAAAACATTCCACCAAATTTTCATTAATTCCCAATTATCTCCCCTTGAATGAGGGCATGGCCCTTCAATTGAACAAACTTGAATCCCCTTCACCCAAGGATGCTTTGTGGCAAGTTTGGTTGAAATTGGTCCAGCGGTTCTTGAGAAGAAGTCAAAAATGTGAAAAGTTTACAGACAGACAGACAGACGGACGCAGGACAAAATGTGATCAGAAAAGTTCACTTGAGCATTCGGCTCAGGTGAGCTAAAAATCATTGTCTAGTTTGTTTGGTATGCCAACAATAGTTGGAAATGTGGGATAATTTGCTTTACCCATTATGCATAAATTATTCCACATTTCCAACTGGGGGTATCATTGATGTCCCTAGCATACCCAACAAACTGGATAAGGATTTCTTAAGTATACACCATATATTAGTGACTTTGCGTTCAGTGTTATGCCAGTAAATCAAAAGATTTTTGTACAGTAGTTAAAATTTGACATTTAATATAACAAGAGGCCCATATGCCACATCGTTCACCTGAACACTGTAGCTTGGAAAAAAGCAGAAATCAGTTTATCATTAAAGTTTAAACCCAAAAGTGGTCCCAACCAATCCTTAAATGGGGTGGGTATGATTTGAATGAACTTGAATCTACACTAACTAAGGATGCTTGCATATTTCTTTGACTATCTGTGGCTTTATTGCCCTTTACATTTGAACTTACATTGTGGCCCCGCCCTACCCCCGGGGGTCCTAATTTGAACAAACTTGAATCTACACTACAT